CATAAATACACTCTAATTGATATCGTATCATGAATATAATCTAATTGATATCGTATCATGCATATACTCTAATTGATATCGTGTGTTTTCATTGGTCATTTCAAAATTACAAATTGAAATCTGGAAATCTCATTGGCCATTCAAAATAAAATGTAACGGATAGTTCCTGTCATTCTAAGATAGTTCTGAACTAAAATGTTTATATATATATTTTGCATTTTAATCAAGAATTTATAAAGAAATAATAGCTTTACGACTGCGTAGATGTTGGTGTTAGAAATTGAGCTCACTTACCGAAACATGAGATGTTTGTTTAGAAACACATACATCTACAAATGTTCCATTTTCTCATCAAAAAAGTATTACGTCACTGTTATACAAGCTACGCTAACATTTCTACATGACTTTGCATTGAAAACTTAGAACTAACATATGGATGTTAACCAGTTTTACTTCAGCCAAGTATTTTTTTTAAAGATACTTCTTGTTTATGATACCTTTAAAATTTTGTGTTATGAATCTTAGGTCAATTTTTCCCCGTTTTTAATTGTCTTATCTGTAAACCAATGGCTTTCGAATACTTGCTTCAAAGGTGAATGTTTACATAGACAACAAACACATGTTTACAAATATATGCGTAATGACTAAAACATTTCCGAACGCACATTCTAACACTTATCTCAGATATTTAGAGTCATGAATATGTAGCTACATTCACCACCAAACTTCTTCATGGCTTATCAGATGATAAAATACAATATTCCAAATGATATATATACGTGTGCGTGTTGGTGTTAATTGAAAATAGCATTTCAATAATGCGATGTTAACAAACAATATTTATATCGATATTAAGTAAAACTGATTCAGAAATTTATTTACGGTCATTTTATTAAAGGCCCATAATGCGCTAGAAATGTATTTATTTTTGTTTATCAAAAGCTTTTCATTATAAGTGTTGTACATATATTGTAGTTTCGAAAGTTACTCATTGGCCAATTACTTGAACCATCTTTTGATTATGTTGCTTTTTGCAAAACTATTTTTAAAACGTTAAAACTGATATTAAGCCTTCCTAAATAAAGAAAACATAATTTGTTTTCTGATGCATATTGGGCATTTCAGCGTCCTTCAGCTTTTATTTTCATCTAGGTTTTTTTAAAACTAAATATTTCAATACTTTTATCTTGGAATAGTGCATCATATCACCGTTGTACTAATTTACATATAGAGAGCGGAGTCGGTAGTTTAGAGATATCGAGCGGTTTTCTAATTTCATTTGCCACCTTAATTCTTTTGATTTAACAATTGTATGAAACGATATATTTAAAAATGACATAATTAAAGAAAGAAAAGAAGTGACGACCGCTTTAATTGGAGATACAGGCAAGATTTTCATTTCTTCGTTTTGAATTTTTCATTCAATAATTATTATGTTAATGTCCTCTAGGCAGTCACAGGAGCAAAACTTTCTCCTTATGAAGAATAAAATGGTGGTTTCCTAACTTGACTTATGTGGGTCAGTTCAGAGCGTTAAGATTTCGCAAAAGTTGTCACATTGAACTGTTAAAGAACATGGCAAATTAATGACTTAGACTTGTTTCAATCATCAATCATACAATATCCACAATATCTGTTATTGTAACTTTCAGGGTTTGTTCAAGTCATATGACTTGTTTTAAACTACTCGGTGATTCTGTCGGCGTCTAAATTGCGTTCAACATATATAGATATATTTACGCTTCAAACCCAAAATATATAGAATTTATATAGAATTTCATGCTGGGGCTTTAAAAATGTCATTTTAGCGTGGTTTGAGTACATAGATATTTATATTTTTTGTCATTAATTTGCCTGAGTATCCCTCTAAGCTAAAGTAAAATATAAATTATTCTGGTCACTTGTATAAATCAAAATCAATATCTAAACGATTTAAGTAAATGAGGACAAAGAAATTTACAGAAATATGTTCGAAGTAATAAATGTTTGAAAGAAAAAATATCCCATCATGTTTGGAGTTTCATAATTGCATTACAAATAATAAATAAATGGCTTTTGACATGTTCAGATCACTCACACATGAATATTTAGCAAAGGGAGTGTAATCGAGGGTTATTTTCTCTTTGGCGTACAAGGGTTACCTCCCGTTGATACAAATAAAAAAAAAACACATTTACTCCGTGTGCGTACGAGAATGTGTGTTTGTGTGTTTGATGACGTAATTAAGAACTATTAGCTTCAATGAAAATATTTTGGTGGAATGTCACCTTTTGTAACATTTGTATAGACAAAGAAACATAACATAACTTTTATGGAGGACTATGAGGGTCTTGGACTCTGACGGATATCTGAACGTGCAGTTATCATGACTGGTCTGAACATGTCTTCATCCTTCCAGCTGAAATCTGTAAATTTCTAAATATGAACATAACTTATATAAGACCTTTCAGTGCTGTTGCTTACCAAAGTTATAGAAGAGCCTCGGTCTGATTTCAAGAAGACAATTTAACCAAATAAATTACGAAAACTCAAAACCCCACACCTTAAAACACCACACATGAATTTTTTTTATTATTTTTATTATTAATCTGGTTTTTCTTTTATCAACAAATTTATTCACATAACAGTTTTAGATTTTTATAAACTTAATGTTATTTCAAGTTAGATTACATTAATTGTAATTAACAAACATGTAGCAAACTTGTTTAATCGATGACTCATCTTTTATATTTTGATATGGGAAAATCTTGATTTGATGACATATTTTCAAGTTGAATAAATTTATACTCATTTTTTTTCATGCCAAGTTGAGATGAATTGACAATCCACTTCAAAAGATTGATTGTTATTTAATGGTGATTGATCAACAGTTGATATTGGAATATGTTTAGGATGAAAAATTATAAATCTCCTTTAAACATAGAAAGACTGCCGCGCTCTTTTTATACATCGAATATCCGATAGATACTAATTAACATAAGTTTTATTGGGCCACGAGAGTTAGTTAACGTTCATGTAGCGCAAGGATCTATTAATTTGAATCTTGATCGAATTATCGCATTGTACATTTTTATCAATGAAACATCAAGCCTGGTAATAATAATTTTCAGATGTAACAGTACTAAGAATATTTTCCTTGTACTCAATCGAAAGCTGGCATATTTACGAGGTGCATATTTTAATTACTGGCAACAAACTCAGTTTTTAAACGTGATTTGCACGTGAAAGCACATGTTCATGTATAATAGTACATGTATAATATACCGTTGAACAGATTTTTTATTTTTTTCTAACCAACAGTCTATTTCCACACGATTTTCACGTACAACAACATTTTAGCAGGTCATTTAAATACATGTGGTTTTGTACATGTATAATATACCATTGGAAAGATTATTGATTTTTTCTAACCAACAGTCTATTTTCACACGATTTGCACGTGCAATAAAATTTTAGCAATTCATTTAAATACATGTGGTTTTGTATACTGGTAATTAACATGGCTAAACGCTCTATTTTTTGACAGTGATGAAATAGTGACCTGCGTCGCGGTGTTGCCACTGGAACATTTTACCGAGTCCATGTTCTCACTGTTGTAGTCCATGTTCTCACTATTGTAGTTAATTACTACATTACAAAGAATCCAAGATTCGGGGTGTGCAGGATCAATGATCATGCACCTGTGCACCGGTCAGTCTTGGTTCAAACTTACTAACAGGAGCAGAGAATTGAGAGGTTTTCCTACATCCCGCTTATAGTCCTGACCTCTTTCCTTGTGACTTTTGGTTTAATCCATACATCAAAGCTTGCCTTCGCGGTCGCCGGATCGAAACCCGTAGTGCCGTCGGAAGAGCTCTCTACTAGTGTAGAAACAGTATACCCAAAGAACAGTTCAAAATGCTTTTGCGGAATAGATTGTGAGGTTGGAAATGTGTGAAAAGGTCCATGATTAAATATTTTGAAGGACTCTAGCTACTATTCATTTTCATAAAAACCCGCTGCCGTTGCCACTAATTAAAAAATCCTCGAAACAAAGAATCAATGCCGAATGTTTATTGGTCATACGCCAAGAAATGTGACAATTTCTTATATTTTTCAAAAAGTAAATATTCATGTAAGTTTTGCTGAAATAATTGTGTAACTTACTGTTTGAAATTATATTTTGTCCAATGATATCGTTACATTTTTTAGAATTCTTTAGTATATTTAATTCATTCAATCGAGACTAACTTTTTTATTAAATACTATCCCGTTAAAGCGACCTGCAGATTTTATTTTTATCTAGAAAAAACACTTCAATGTTGTTTGAAACTAAGTATTTCAATAATTTCATGTTGTTTCAATAATTTCATCTTGGAAAAGTGCATCATATCACGTGTAAGTTTTCTTAACAATAGCGTCCATATCTATCGGGAGCGGACCGGTAAATTGGAAATATCGAGAGGTTTCCTTATTATTTATATGTACTTTTTCAATGACAAATTTCATTTTACAACTTAATTCTTGACAATTATATGAAACGATTTATTTAATAATAACATATTTAATCTTAGGCATTAAATGTAGGCATCTGTCTAGCAGCTGTGCCCCTCTTGACAGATTTAATTCCAATAATGCTGACTAATAAACACTAACATTATCTAAATGTATATCAAAAGCTTTTTTTTATTTTCCTTCGCAAATGTTTGTTTATAAAATATTGACAGCGTCAAGAAAGGCGTAAACATGTTCCCCATTCTCATATTTTATTCTTTTCAAATTCAGTCTCATTATTGTGATAAGTTATTGATTTTCAATAACAAATATGTGTCTTATAAATAAAAACAAATATCAACAGAAAAAGAATATTTAGAATAGAATAAAGATCTATCCAAGCCTAAACTCAAATTTTCAGTGAATTCGCAGTAAAATAAAAGAACAGAAGACAACAAAGTACATGCATTTCACAAGACAACATAATTTTAAAATGCCGCTGCATGTTTTATTTTATGCTTTTATGCTCTCACGAGCTAACAGTTTAGTTCACGACACGTTCACAATAACCGATACATCAGTATCTAGCATTGACCAGCCAGATCTTTCACCTTTATAGCGACATTTTTTACTGGAACCGTTTTCTTGCTATGTGTCCAATAGCCAATACCACCTTCCCGTCTTTTACCATATACGCCATTCAACCCCCCTAGTCGCCAACAGTCCTTATACCACAAACCAGCCCCGTCAAGCACGCTGACACAATTTCTTGAAGAAACATCATTTTCTCTGTCATAAGTTGAAAATTTCATGTTGTTGTAGTAGCTTAGAAGTTCTTTAATATTTCCCTCGTAATTAAAAGCATCGACGTTCATTTTATAGGCGGTTGCTGCCTCGTGCACGGTGAAAACTTTATAATGTAGGTATTCCTTTTTGCCCTCGTAGTTTTCCATGTCAAAGTAAATCTGACTGCCATCCCGTGTCAGACGGTGAATTTTCTCTAACCCTAGCCAATGTGAGCCGTCAATTTCTCCAAATCCACTGACGTAGTCATCCCAAGGCCGGTAAAAGCTAATCTTTCCGTCAACTCTTTTCTGTAATGGTTATAAAACAATTTGGATAAAAAGGAATACCTCCATATGTATAATAATATGTAGAGATATATACAGATGATCCAGAATGGCATTGTCTTTTTGTCTGTCATCAGTAAAAGTGTAAAACTTACAACAGATTGAACTTAAACTTTTAATCGTCATAATGAAAATGAGTCATGAATTGTTGAAAACATTATTGGTTACACAGTCTGTTTTAAGACAAAAACTATCTATATAAAAACTCATACCTGGATCAAAGTCCATCCCCCGTTAGTCATGTCACAGAACACTAAAAACGGACATCTTCCGTCCGGAGAGATAGAATAAACTCCGTCTGTCCTAGTACCGTTTCTGTATATTTCCAAACAATCTGTAATATTGAAATGGATGGAAATAACTTATCATTCAAAATATACCACATGCTATATACATGTAAATACTTTATTAGAAAACTCGTTTAAGATACTTTTCATAGAAAATCATTTTATTTTATACGACTGAATTAATTAGAATCCAGGTCATGCAATGTGATTGACGATTCGATGTAAGAAACCGTACAATCCTATTTAAGATATTAAACTATCGATTTTAATACATAGAAACCCTACTCGAATTACAAAACCGTCCTATATAAAATCTTAAACTACCGATTTTAATACATTGATTTCTGTCGCGGCCATTTTAATTAAATAGTTTATATAAAATCTAAATAAAAATGTCTTCTTTTTATACGTATTGTTAAAAACTACCTCTTGGAAAACCTTGGATAGTAGTGAAATGGGAATTTTCATGTTGCTGTAAAAGTGTCTGAAGCTGACGAACTTGGACTTTCAAAGATCGTACTTCTTCTTCCAGTTCATTCGAGCACGGAGTTTTTGTTTTTAAAGCATCTGTGTTTGTTGTGCACATAAACGTTTCATGCCCGATACAAAAATGAACTGTCAGGACAGCGAAGATCAGTAATTGAAGACATATTTCTACTTCCATGTTCAGATTTCTAATCTGTAAACAGTTGTTACATTTTATGTGAACGCAGAAATATCTTAAACATTTTCAGTTTTTCACACTGACAGCTAAAACCAAGTCGCATGTTTATCCTTTGGATGATATTCTTCCTTTATTTCGGGGCGGAACATATTTTTGTGATCACTTTTATAAGAACTTCCCAATGGAATGAAGTGTCACATGATCAAATTACTTGTATGTTAATAATAAAATACGAGTATCGTGTGAACCTATTTACTCCATTGTGAGCTTATTTTTTTTATCATAAAACTTTAAAATAGGGAGATCTCTACGGCAATGAGAGCAAAAACAAAAACAAAAAAACAAGGGGCCTCGTTCGATCTTTTCTTATTCGTAAGTCAAATACGCAGACGATCAAGTTCATATTAAAGAGGAGGATCTTTAGTCACTATTACAGTGCATGTAGTCATATTATCAGATCATTTATTATATCGTACAAAAGACATAAATTTTATTGTTATAACTTGTCTAGGAATGTTCAGTTAATTATATCCTCCAAAAAACAGACAACATCGTATCTGTTTTTGCTGATTTAAAATATCACATTTAAATGTAAAAACACGACATTTAAATAATTGCGTGACATTATATTTAAAATATAATTAATATTACTAATGTATTGTGAATAACTTGTATTAATTAATACTTTGAATGTTGTTTGAATGATTATGCACAGTGAACAAAATAAAGATAAAATTCTGTATTTTTTACTATTTGAAAAAAAAGCACCAACTTACAAAACGTTACCGCCTGATTTACAATCCTGTAGTGTCTTCTTCTTTTGTGTTTGTGAATCAATTTGTCACGATCATGGATATTGTTTTGTAAGAGAGGCCCCGACATCTTCACAAATTTAATATCACACTTTTAGATATCCATCATAATGGCAGTGAATAAATCATACATAAATTCATTAAAACAAACCTATTTTTATTAAATGTTAAAAATTGATCGCTTTTGTATTTTCATGAAATAGTATACTGTCAAAGATGAAACTTTCTTTAAAGGAACTCCACTGAGGTAAAATAAAGCCTAAAAACATAAAAATGAGGCCTCTAACATTAATCAAGTGATCAACTTAAAATCGAAAAATCTGCAAAGGATTATAAAGAAATATGTTAAGAATTAAACTGTAAATCGATTTTTGTGCGATTTTAGCCAGTGAAAGCGTTGCAACGCTGTTCAGTTCTTTTTTTTTGCGAAAAAAGAGATGATTTTAGAGAAAAAAAAACGGGCAGAGGAAATGATCTGAAACTTTGCACAGAAGTTGTCAGTTCAGACAGATACGAATATTGGAAAACTGTTTTAGTCTCGTCATGTCAAAAAACCTCAGTGGAGTCCCTTTAAATATCTATGTATTATGTTCTTTTACATTCTAAGATTATTTAATAGATCAGGGCCTTCATGTTGCAATATTTTTTAAACTTTGTCATGTTAAACAATAGCGTGTTTAAATCTTTAGTGGAGAGATGTTTTATAAACAAGAAAGAAAAAACAATACCGGTAAAACTTAAATTTCCTTCTTCCTCTTTAAACGTTTATGTGTCGGCTTGACCGAGTAGTCAACGCGTCGGACTAGTAATCTAAGGATTGCTGGTCGCGTGTGTTCAATACTTGAGCAAGAAAATCAACTATCATTTGGTTGGTTCAAAAAACTGATTCGGGAGTATTCAATACGCTTATAGTTTTAAACACAATCAAACTTAAATAAATTAGTATAAACAAAACATCACTATGGTAACAAAACTATTATTGTAGATCTTCTACATTCTTTACTAAGGAGAAAAATGTGTTATGAACACATCTGCGGATGTTTCTAAATTCAAAATTTTACTATTTCATGTTTAAATGTTGAATTCTGCTTAAGCCGGTGCTAGGGGGCGTGGACGGTAACTTGCACTTTCCAGTACCGTCCATGAACAGGCTCAATCAAACCGAGCTTAATCTTTAGGGATTCTGTATTTATCTATTTTATAATGTTGTTATGATTCTATTAAATCAAATTCATTAAATGCAAACAAACTCACTCCACGAAGCTGACTCCTTTTTGCAAATCAGTTGCCAGACACTAGCACAGACGCCACTTGACTGATAAGCTCTGGTTTGTCCTATCCATGAGGCTAATTACCTTTAGCAAATGTGCAACAAGCCAAAATGGTTTCCCTTCACACTAGTATTAATAGTTTTAAGAAAGACGTTTCAGCTGCAACGGTAAACGGAGTGATACACTCTTCGGGGAGAGCAATAGATGGATTATAATTACTTGTTGATCAAGGGGAATGTTGTTAAATTGGTTAACATGCCTAAACCGATCGATCGACGTACTAGTTTTTATGGTTTTGTTTCAAAGCATTTAGTACTTGCATCATCACGAGGAATGCTAGCAACTCTTCACATGATGGATTTATTTTTTTTGTGTGTGTGTGTTCATATCTTAATGCAATTTTAGCACCTCATATATTTCAAAAATAATTTTGGAATTCATCAATGAAGGACCTTCATTTTACCAACAGTGTTTGAACTTATAAGATTATTATAATAGTGAACAATAAATGAAATTGTAATAATGCATAAAAAATTAGCAAAATCTTATTAATTTTCTTTTCTTCATTCTAATATTTCTAAAGCAATAGCGTTAAAATGTCGTGAAGATAAACAAGAGAAAATATATACAATACACTTTAATTTCCTTCTTCCCATTTAAACATTATCACGTTGGCAACACAATTGTTTTAAATTAGATCACAAAAAAGATTTTATTGACAACATATTTTAGTTTTAACTTTGTAAAGTTAAAATGAATTGACAATTTGTTTCTGATACTATCTTAGCACATTTTGTTCAAAGCTGTTTCATGCAACCATTGAAAAACTAGAAATGTGTCATCATGCCACGGATGCCCCCGCATGCAGCAAAAATTTCAGATGTTATAATATTTAGTTCCAAATTTGTTTGCACAAATTATTTTTTTCATTTTAAGTTCAAAGCCCTTAAAACTTTTCAATGTTAACACAAACCATTTCCATACAATGTTCAAGGCACTGAAATTATTCAGTCTTAACCTTTTGAAAATAGCATATTTCATATTTGTAGCCAAAATAATGGCTACATACATTTCCACAAAAGTACAAAGAGTGCTGAAACTGAAAGTTCAAATTTTTTCCAACATTCAAGAAAGATAAGTTTGTCCAAAATCATTGAACCACGACCAAATTCAAACTTAAACTGCTTATTCCTAAGATGTATCTATATTATTTTCAAAGTGAAAGGGACATAACTCTGCCAAAAAATCATCGAACCATGACCAAATTCCAACTTGACCTGCCCATTCCTTTGACATATCCATATGTCAAATTTGAGTTGAATATGTAACACTGTTGGGTAGATAATGAACAGAAACTGTAAATTTCATATTATTTTCAAAGTGAAAGGGGCTTTACTCGGCCAAAAATCATTGAACCATGACCAAATTCGAACTTGGCCTGGGCATTCCAAAAACATATTCATATGTCAAATTTGGGTTAAATGTGTTGTACCGGTGGGGAGATAATAAACAGAAACTGAAAATTTCATATTATTTTCAAAGTGAAAGGTGCATAACTCTGCCAAAAATCATTGAACCATAACCAAATTTGAAATTGACCTGCGCATTCCTTTGCCATATCCATATGTCAAGTTTGAGTTGAATGTGTTGTACTGTTTGGGAGATAATGAACGGAAACTGAAAATTTCATATTATTTTCAAAGTAAAATGGGCATAACTCTGCCAAAAATCATTAAACCATAACCAAATTCGAACTTGACCTGTATTTTGTCATGACATATCCATATGTCAAGTTTGAGTTGAATGTGTTGTACAATTGGGGAGATAATGAACGGAAACTGAAAATTTCATATTATTTTCAAAGTAAAAGGGGCATAACTCTGCCAAAAATCATCAAACCATGACCAAATTCCAACTTGACCTGCCCATTCCTTTGACATATCCATATGTCAAATTTGAGTTGAATATGTAACACTGTTGGGTAGATAATGAACAGAAACTGTAAATTTCATATTATTTTCAAAGTGAAAGGGGCTTTACTCTGCCAAAAATCATTGAACCGTGACCAAATTCGAACTTGGCCTGGGCATTCCAAAAATATATCCATATGTCAAATTTGAGTTGAATGTGTTGAACCGGTGGGGAGATTATAAACAGAAACTGAAAATTTCATATTATTTTCAAAGTGAAAGGTGCATAACTCTGCCAAAAATCATTGAACCATAACCAAATTTGAAATTGACCTGCGCATTCCTTTGCCATATCCATATGTCAAGTTTGAGTTGAATGCGTTGTACTGTTTGGGAGATAATGAACGGAAACTGAAAATTTCATATTATTTTCAAAGTAAAAGGGGCATAACTCTGCCAAAAATCATCGAACCCTGACCAAATTCGAACTTGACCTGTATTTTCTCATGACATATCCATAATTATGTAAAGTTTGAGTTGAATGTGTTGTACCATTGGGGAGATAATGAACGGAAACTGAAAATTTCATATTATTTTCAAAGTAAAAGGGGCATTACCCTGCCAAAAATCATCGAACCATGACCAAATTCGAACTTGACCTGTATTTTTTCATGACATATCCATATGTCAAATTTGAGTTGAATGTGTGCAACTGTTACTAAGATAATGAACGGAAACTGATGATGACGGAATGACAAAAGGACGGAATGACGTAAGGACGGAAGGACGGAATGACGGAAGGACGGAACAGGGTAACACTATATAAATATATATAAAAATATTCTGACTGCTTGGATGTTAAAAGTATTCCTATTTAAACATTTTACTAATATCGTACATACAAATGTCTTTCTAAATAAATCCTAATCTCGCATGTGTGAAGCAAGCATGTTACATACTTATATTTATCAAGACTGCTTCCCGGAAACATGAGCGTCGACCTAAGTGGGATTTAAACCCACGGTCACTTGATTAAAGGCAGTCACATTTACCATATGCCACTGATTTTATTCTATTAGTTTGCAAAAGATTCTGGAATTTCTTTTGCGTCAAACTTCTACAATGCATCACTAAATGAAACTAATCTAAATTAGTCTGTGCAGGTGTGATATAATTGTGTAGGAAGAACATATGAATGTTAAAGGTGTTTCGACTTCATAATATTTCTTAAATCATATATGATATGTTCTAAAAGTATCTTAAATTATGATAACTAAAGTATAGTGTGGGTTTTACGTCACATCGACACAGTATAGGTCATATCGCGACGTTCCAGCTTTACTGGTGGAGGAAGACCTCAGGTGCCATTCCGTGCATTATTTCAGGCACGAACGGGCACCTGAGTAGAACCACCGACGTTCCGTAAGCTAGCTGGATAGCTTCCTCACATGAAAGAATCCAAAGTCCCTGTCGGGATTCGAACCCACAGCGGTGAGGGGCAAGTGGTTTGAAGTCAACGACCTTAACCACTCGGCCACGGACGCCTAAATAGAGTGATTGAAATCAAATTGATGGAATGAAGACTAACCACCAAATTTACCCATTTTGCAAAACCAAAATCATTGGAATTAATGGCAATATCATCAACACATTCTGTATTTTTACTGCTGCAAAGCTCATTGAATATAAAAGCAAAATGACAAACATTATTTAACTTAATATTGGCATAAAACGGTTTCCAAAGGGGAGAAATAATTCGGAAGCCGTTTGGTCAGCTCAATAGGTAGAACGATGGACTGTAAATCGGCCGACCTGAGTTCGGTTCCTGAACGGTGCAGGTCACTTTTGTTGTGATTGATCATTAAATCATTCCACGGTCATTTGCACTGCACCTCTACCTCTACTCTAGCATTAACATAAGTTTCAGCTCCTTGGCTAACTTTGCTCTTGAAAATTCATTTTCACTCTGTAGATGTATTATAATTACTGGGCGATAAAAGAAAAGGTGTAAGTAGGTAACATATACGTTGGGCGACCGACCTACGGACCGGATCACATTATGTTCTTTTGTTTACTAATTTTTAGACTTTATGTACTTGCATCATAACCAGGAAGGACTCTTGAAATGATTTCATTTGTTTGTTCATGAGATTGTAACACCTCATTTTACAAAATACTTAAAAACTTTTTTAAAATTCATATAAGTAGGACTCTATCTTTGACCACCAATGTTTGAATATATACCATGTAAATGTAAATAGGAATCTACATTATCAAAAGCTGAACGGTTTTTTTAAACTTCGTTTTGGGTAATTTTTTGTTATTGCCTTTTATTTCAACATAAACAAACCCAATCTTTGCCGATTATTTCACATAGATAACATCAGTTCTCATTGTTTAATCAGGGTCTTAAAAATAGAAAAACAAATTTGAACGTCCCTGGTTTTGCTTAAACAATACAAGGTATAACTTTTAAAACAAGATTTATAGATAATAGTATTATCATTTATCTTCCTTGTTCCTCTTATGACTACAATAAGAATAAGATATTTGATGCTTTTATCATTTTTACAGCAATTACAGTCTGACCTTATGCTCTACCATCTTTGTACCCTTTAAATGTAAACGTGTGGACCAAAGACAAATGATCTTAGTCCCGCTCATGTGTGTCGTGAGACCAATATACAAGTATCTCACGATAATTAGAAGCATACAAGTCCAGCTAACAGAAATAATCATATATCATGTATACATAATAAAATTAAACCTCTTCTTTTTATTACATGTATAAATATAAAGGTACATGTATGTTTTTAATTTGTTGTCGCCCGTTGTGACGCCCAACCCACACTCCACAAATTAAATTGCTCCGTTTAACTCCTCGTTATCCTGCCCTTCTCCTGTTTATTGTTGCACTGGGTATCATTGATTCTAATGGGGCTGGGTCCCGTGAGCAATGCTCTCCATTTTTGTTACCACTACTATAATTTACCAAAAGTTAATTTAGTGCCTTGATTGAAAAAAGAAAGTTTACATATTTTAGTAATATAACTTTCTTTGACGAGAAGAGGCAACCACAAATACAACAATATTTTGAGTATGAAACCCCCCCACCCCCAAGAATTAAGGAATATATATGATGAATGTTCTGACCATATAAGTCGTAAAAATCCATTTTGTCGCTTTAGATTTATACAGAACGTTTCGGTAGGTTAAGACAATACAAAACATGTCATTGTTATAACCAGGTAGTTTCATTTCGGACTCAGTAGGTAGCTTGGAGACAGTGTATAGAGGATTATAAAGACCTGAACAAAGGTTTGTTATATTTTAAGTCATTGTGATATATGATTTTCGTGATCTTTATCAACTTTAAATATAAACAACAATATTAGTCGAACGTAGGTCCTTGTTTGATTTTGTAAATAATTTAAATTTGAAACACTCAAATTTCTCATACAAGTAGAAATAAATGAAGTTATTACTAAGACAGTTTTCATAATAAAGAGATCCTTACAATGGCATGACAATCGCTACAGCACAATTGTTGGCATTCAACAGCAAGCATTTTCGATTAATAGTTTTTATTTGTATGTAATGTATAATTTTCTGTCTTTTGAACACTTATTGTCGTGATAACACCTGATATTTACATGTTGAGAGTTATTTGTGTATCTTTAATGGCACACTATGACTAGAAATGACAAACATATGTTTGAAATGTTTAAATAATGAATTTAGAGCATGTTAGATGATTAACAAATTAATGAAGGAAGGAGCGTTGAACGTGAAGTAATGTGTCATTATGGCAGCAAAATGTAAACAAAGTAGTTTTTTTTTACTTTCTTACAAAATACTATTTCACTACAATTATAACAATTGCAAATATAGCAATAGAAGCAAATGATAGTTCAATCTACATGTATATGTCATATTAATAATGCTTGGAAACTGTAATATTTAGATACCAAAAACACATGTAAAGTTTTTGAGAAAAAATGATAGCATATCTGAGGCATAAAGGGGCTTTTAACTGATGGTTGAGGGTTTGAATCAAAAATAGAGAGGGATCTTTGTCTAATGAATTTGTATCATTGTGTTACCATGGCAAAGGTATGGGTGATTTTATTTGATTTTCTGATATCTAAAATTTTATATATATATGTGCTTACAGAATATCAAATACCACTCTGTGTGAATTTGCCAGTAAGACAATGAGAATGCTGTGGTTATTTTCTCTTCTTTGCGTCATTTGTGTCTGTTACGGACAAACCACATGGACATGCATGTCGAGCAGTGATGCTGTCTTGGTAAATTCAAGCTCAAAGAAATTGGAGGAAAAAATTCATTCTTTAGAAGTTCAAGTAAAACAACTTCAGAGGCTTGTAAGGAAACAAGATAGGCCGTCTTATACATCCATTGAGGGCTTCCCAAGAGGTAATAAGCTGTTACATTTTGTCTTATAATAGCTTTCTCAAATTCTCAAATTGTAGGTCACGTGGGTTACACTAAAATGGTACCGAGTCTCATGCATTTATGACTTTGGATAATAATATTTTTATATTAACAAATATTTGTAACATGATAAAACATGTTAATAGTGTTTAGTAGTGTTTTATTTTCAGCTTTCACCACTAAGAAACACCCTTACTTTACACTTAATATTTGATATTTAATGATAATGACATCTAAAACTAAATGTAAAATGAGCACACTTTTCAAGTTACAGAGCTAAACACTAAATATTAATTGTTGTAAGCTATGGAAAATATAGACTCGTGATTATTAGAACTGTTACGATGTTGGTAGAACGTCACAATACTCGTATGAGCATTACAATATGCAATACTAATGGTGGTCAATTAAAATATAGGAAAGAATCCCATATATAAGGGCATAAACCCATCTTTGTGGTGAGACCGGGTTTGTGTGTCGTACATATTACAGAGTATAGCACTGTGAGTTTGCCTGTTTTTTAATTCCTTTACAAGCAAACAAGTTTGCTTCTTTAAAGAGATATTTTCGCTGCTGTAGAAGACTTGTTTAATTTGAAAATATTTGGAAAAAAGACACAATGAATGGTTATAAATTACAATTATTTAACAAAAAATAATTTATTATATAAATTGAATATATAGTATCATAATGAAAGTTTGTTTACACTTTATTTTTTAATGTTTTGAAAGATTATATGCTGGAGAAATGGACTTTTTTCCCCGGTGCATAAGGGATACTTTTTCGTCAAAGGGAACTAAATTTAAAATATATGATGTGCATATTAAAAGTAGTATCAAAATAAAATTTTCTTGTAAAATTCAATGAGCAAATATTTCGGTTAATGTTTTGGTAAGTATATGGAAACATTTCAAAACGGGCATAAAGTATGTTAATCAGACAATTTTAAGTCCAGGATTTACATAAAAATGTGTTATATCATTTGATTGGAATACACAGAATACATGTATAAAGATGCATGCCTCCAACCACAATATTTAAAGAAAATCAAACTTGTGTCAAATGTGTGTGATTTGCGCCAAAAAATCCCCGTTGCGTTACTTGGTCATACCGGTTCAAAAGTTTAAGGAGCAGCAAAATTTCGGTACACGGTTCACTCGGTCATATAATAGTGCATGGTGTTATTGTAGCTTTAGTGTTCACTGTTACTATTTATCGTCTTTGTTACTATTTATCGGAACAAGAAATAGTAAAACGCTATTCAGAAAACAATACTGTAATCGATTTATACAGTTTAAAAGATTAGAACGGAATGAAACATCCACGTAGCGCTAAGTAACGTAAATGATATTTTCCGATTTTTCTATGTACCGATTTGTTCACTTCGATGTTAATTTTTCGTTTAAGTCGTATTTTGAAACGGAGCATGCGCAAAACAAATTTTGTATCATTGTTTGGAGACCTTTCTGTTGAAAATGTGTCAGGGTTAAATCGTATACATATACATGCACAGTGCGTTAACTGGAGTGCGGGTATTAGTTACCCGCACTCCAGAGCATGCCCATTGATTGGCTCATTTTTGCTGGGGTTTACATATTGTGACGGCAGAGAAAGGGAAAGCGACAGAAATGTCATATTCAGATGTTCGTTCATTGGTTCATTTTTGCCTGGGTTTCATATTGTGACAACAGGGAACGTGCTTTTATGTTTGACTATGATACAAAAGAGAAAGAACACCAAAACACTCGGCAATCTGATTAATACTCGGGGGCTACGCCCCCTCGTACAAATCAGATAGCCTCGTGTTTCGGTGCTCTTTCTATTACTTGTAGACTGCTCCTAATAGTTTTAAACTGTAAATGAGATTCATTCACTACAATCAGATACGCAAAAATGGATGCCGCCTGCAATCAGTCTGAACACTGTAGAGAGGTCTGATGACCTCTCCAATTAGTGATATACTGATTGGTCAGGAATCGAACCTCAGTCCTGTCGTACCTGGGATTTATGAATACTAGTAAGATGACATGCATTCAAAAGAGAGAAGAATGATTAATTCTGTAATTAATAAATTATTAATTGCGCTTTATTATAATTGTTTGTGTTAGAAAAGTCACGAACGTCTCATAACATGATTATATATGTATATACAGTACGTTTTCAGAACTTCGGGACCGAATGCAGGGCATAGAAAATATTTGAATTGCCTTTCATATGTGAAAATCGGACTTTGCAAATTTAATTAAATTTATGAAAGAATAGAAATTTTGTATTTTTTATCATTTCAGATTGTTTAGAGATATATAAGAATGGGACAAGAACTGATGGCATCTACTCCATCTCGCCAGATGGCAGGTGTCCGTTCTTTGTCTATTGTGACATGACAAACGGGGGCTGGACGTTAATACAGGTCATACAGTTTTATTCCAACAAAAAAAAAACTGTTTTATCATTTGTAGTCATAAATGAAAAAATATAGATCTTATTATTTATATATTTGTCTTTTTAATATAGAATTACATAATATGAGAGAACATTTTCTTTTTTCTTCTTCTTTTTTTGTCGTTGCTTTTTATCATGGTTTAGTAATTGGCAGAAACGATAAACTGTTAATTTTCTTTTTCAAAGAAACGGGTGGACGATAAAATAAACTTTTATCGGTCTTGGGATGACTACGTCAGTGGATTTGGTGAAATTGATGGTTCACATTGGCTAGGTTTAGAGAACATTCATCGTTTGACTCGTGATGGCAGTCAGGTTTACTTTGAAATGGAAAACTATGAAGGAAAAACGGAGTATGCTCACTATAAAGTGTTCACCGTGCACGAGGCAGCAACTGCATATAAAATGAACGTCGATGCTTTTAATTACGAGGGAAATATTGAAGAACTGCTCAGTTATCATGACAATATGAAATTTTCGACTTACGATAGGGACAATGATCTTGATTCAAGACGAAACTGTTGCGCTGATCTGGATGGAGGTGGTTGGTGGTATAAAATCTGTCATAGACTGGGAAATGTAAACGGTGTGTATGGTAAAATGACAAAAGGAGGGATCGGTTATTCGAATACAAAGATCATTCCAATAAAAAATGTCGCTGTAAAGGTGATGGACATTCGGGGCAGATGTTGAAATGAGCAGATATTTGTTATTTCTTACACTTAATACAGTTAAACATCCAGAATGGATTCATAAATCATAGTTTACAGTATTTTACGTTCTTCAATTCTGAGAATATCTCTGTTTAATATAAAGAAATTTATTTGTTCGAAAAATTCTTTTTCTGCTGTTTTTATATACAACTTATAGTCAATATTTCTTTAGGTAAAACAATTAATATATTCTATTAAAGTTGTTCATTTATGTATAAAACATTAAAAATGTGAATGTTATGATTATAGCAAATTGTATTTTAATAAAAATTGTTTTTTTAATGTAAAGTAAATTTGTTTTGGTTCTTTGGTTACTTAAGAAATATTTACATTGAGTAGGACCTATTTATTTTTCCGAAATCAATGTATTCAATGTATAAAATGCATTACCATTGTGGATAATTTGCTTACCTATATTTCAAATGAAGTAAACTTGCATTGATTTTGATATTCTATTATCTCGTACAAAATCTCATTTTACCATCCTTTTCTTCATACGACTGATTAAGCTAGAAATCTGTAGCATGTAGCATGGAAAAAATATTACATCTATTTGAATTCTGAAAAAAAAATCCAAATAATCTGTGAAAAAGAAATAGGCTTCTATATTTCCGTGAGAGCAAATTGCACATGAATGAAATCATTGCTGAACGATAACAATATGAGAACAATGATCAACAAGGAACGCCGTCATTCAATGAACGAAGCACCTAACCAACACCGAAACCCAACCCATGAAGGCAAAAAATGCAAAAGAGAAAACAAGGCCAAATCAAGGACGATAGTTAGCAATCCTAATTAAAATAGCAGCACTATATTCTGTTCCGGAACATGTTATCCTGTTTACGTGCAAAAGCCATGTTTGCCAAATAACAGAGACTATATATAAAATATATCATTCAATAAACCACCATTATTTTATGGAAACAAGAAACATTTACAATTATTTAATATAAGAAAATATTTCAGTAGATAACGCTTTATCACAGATTACAGGATCAAAGATTACAGGATCACAGATTACAGTGATCACAGGATCACACTTTGTCCAGATTTTTATACTACTAGTATCTGAAACTGCAAATTCTGCAACCGAAGGGAACTATATTTAGTTTTCGGTTGATTAAATCGTTATCAACTAACCATTTAGAGACTGCAAAAAATATATACATGCATATAGGAATTTAAAGAAATTATCAATGGGTGGTCCACTATAAAAAAAAGTGTTCCAAATTAATATTAGTAATTCGGTTCGATATAATTATTCATAACCGGGCCGGGTCATTCATCCATCCATCCATTTCTTATAGCAAAATGTAAACTTCTTTTGACTTTCACTCACTATATACGTACTCTTGAAACAAAAATCATCCTGTAACTGTCTAGTGCATTTTTTTCACCAACGAAAGGTGTAAAAAAGATTAACAAAATATGATACATGTACTTAGATTAATATATGCATTGTACACACATGTTACATTTGCATACCAAGAATCAATGCCGAATGTGCAGTGATTATACGCCAAAATGTGATACATTATTACGCCATTATTTTCCAAATAGTAAATATTAATGCGAGTTCTGCTGAAAGTATTGTGTAACTTAAAGTTTGTAATTTTATTTTGTCTAATATATCGATATCGTAGCACGTTTAAAATTCTTTGGTATATATTTAATTTATTTAATCGACACTAAATTATTATTAAATTCAATCCCGTTAAAGCGGCTCCCAGCTTTTAATTTATCCCGGAATTTACTACAGTGTTCGATTCAAACTTAGTATTCACACAATTTTATCTTTGAAAAGAGCATCATATCACTGTTAAGTCTTCATCAAAGCAGTGTCCCAATAGCTATTTATAACACGCTAGTGACGCTTGTTTCTTTGCTTTACTCATTCACATAAAAAAGAGCAGACCAGAATATAAGTCATTTTACTTAAATAGTTTATATAAAATCTACAATAAAAATGTCTTCTAAAACATAATTTCCCATGGCTTTTTATATGTTTTGTTAAAAAACTACCTCTTGGAAAACCTTGGATAGTAGAGAAATGGGAATTTTCATTTTGCTGTAAAAGTGTCTGAAGCTGACGAACTTGGTCTTTCAAAGATCGTACTTCTTCTTCCAGTTCATTCGAGCACGGAGTTTTTGTTTTTAAAGCATCTGTGTTTGTTGTGCACATAAACGTTTCATGCCCGATACAAAAATGAACTGTCAGGACAGCGAAGATCAGTAATTGAAGACATATTTCTACTTCCATGTTCAGATTTCTAATCTGTAAACAGTTGTTACATTTTATGTGAACGCAGATATATCTTAAACATTTTCAGTTTTTTTCACACTGACAGCCAAAACCAAGTCGCATGTTTATCCTTTGGATGATATTCTCCCTTTATTTCGGGGCGGAAAATATTTTTGTGATCACTTTTATAAGAACTTTCCAATGGAGTAAAGTGTCACATGATCAGATTACTTGTATGTTAATCATAAAATAAGAGTATCGTTTGAACCTATTTACTCCATTGTTAGCTTATTTTTTTATGTAATAACTTGATGCGGGCCTCGTTCGATCTTTTCTTGTAAGTCAAATACACTGACGATCAAGTTCAATTTAAGGTCAATGTCTTATTTGAATTCTTCGACACGTCTATTGTGTGTGTCATATTTGTCGTTTTGTCCAACTATCAAAACCACTTTAACATATTGAAATATGACCAAATATCAAACTCACATCACCACTTGTAAAAACCACAGCACCCATATTTTAAATGGCAGCACCATATATCAATACCATATAAGTGTTTTTAAAATAGAACTATATAGTTTAGACATCGTTGATGCTAAAGTAATCCCTCTTTGAGGAGGATCTTTAGTGCATGTATGTCGTCATCTTATCATATAGAATGATACATATATCCCTTTATGTAGTATAAGAGACATCAATTTTATTGTCTTAACTAGTCTAGGAATGTACAGTTAATTACATCCCCCAAAAAATGCAGACAACATCGTATCTATTTTTGCTGATTTAAAATCACATTTAAATATAAAAATACGGCATTTAAATAATTGCGTGACATTATATTTAAAATATAATTAATATTACTAATGTATTGTGAATAACTTGTATTAATGAATACTTTGAATGTTATTTGAATGATTATGCACAGTGAACAAAATAAAAATAAAATTCTGTATTGTTTACTGTTTGAAAAAAAGCACCAACTTACAAAACGTTACCTCCTGATTTACAATCCTGTAGTGTCTTCTTCTTTTGTGATTGTGAATCAATTTGACACGATCATGGATATTGTTTTGTAAGAGAGGCCCCGACATCTCCTTCACAAATTTAATATCACACCTTAAGGAATCCATCATAATGGCAGTGAATAAATCATTCATATATTTATAAAAACAAACATATTTTCATTAAATAGTAAAAATTGACCGCTTTTGTATTTTCATGAAATAGTATACTGTCAAAGATGAAACTTTCTTTAAAAACACTCCACTGAGGTAAAATAAAATAAAAGCCTAAAACATGAAAATGAGGCCTCTTACATAAATCAAGTGAAGCACTTAAAATCGAAAAATCTACAAAGGATTATAAAGAAATATGCTCAGTAAATTGTAAATTGATTTCGTGCGATTTTTAGCCACCGAAAGAGTTGCAACGCTGTTCAGTTCTTTTCTTTTATTGTTAAAAAAGATGATTCTAGACAGAGGAAATGATCTGAAAATTTGCACAAAAGTTATTAGACCAGACAGATATCAAATGCTGCACAAATATTTGAATACAATTTTAAATTTTGAATATCAAAAAACCTCAGTGGAGTCCCTTCAATTATCATTATATTATTATGTTCTTTTACATTCTAATATTATTTAATATATCAGGGCCTTCATGTTGCAATATTTTTTTAAACTTCGTCATGTTAAACAATAGCGTGTTTAAATCTTAAGTGGAGAGATGTTTTATAAATCAGAAAAAAGCAATAAAACTTAAATTTCCTTCTTCCTCTTTAAACATTTATGTGTCGGCCTGACCGAGTAGTTAACGCGTCGGACTAGTAATCTAAGGATTGCTGGTCGCGTGTGTTCAATACTTGAGCAAGAATATCAACTATCATTTGGTTGGTTCCAAAAACGGATTCGGGAGTATTCAATAAGCTTATAGATTTCAACACAATCAAACTTAAATAAATTAGTATAAACAAAACATCACTATGGTAACAAAACTATTATTGTAGATCTTCTACATTCTTTACTAAGGAGAAAAATGTGTTTTATAATGTTGTTATGATTCTATTAAATCAAATTCATAAAATGCAAACAAACTCACTCCACGAAGCTTACTCATTTTTGCAAATCAGTTGCCAGACACTAGCACAGACGCCACTTGACTGATAAGCTCTGGTTTGTCCTATCCATGTGGCTAATTACCTTTAACAAATGAGCAACAAGCCAAAATGGTTTCAATTCAAACTAGTATTAATAGTTTCCAGAAAGGCATAGACGTTTCAGCTGCAACGGTAAACGGCAACACTAGGGAGAACAATAGATGGATTCTAATTACTTGTTGATCAAGGGGAATGTTGTTAAATTGGTTAACATGCCTCAACCGACCGACCGACGTACTGGTTTACATTGATTTGTTTACCAATTTCAAAGCTAGTAACTCTTCACATGATGGATTTATTTTTTGTGTTCATATTCTAATGCAATTTTAGCACCTCATTTTACAAATATATTTCAAAAATAATTTTGGAATTCATCAATGAAGGACCTTCATTTTACCAACAGTGTTTGAACTTATAAAATTATTATAATATATTATTATTATATTATATTATCATATTTGTATAATGCACATCACAACATTCTTCTTACATTTTCTTTTCTTAATTCTATAATTTCAAAAGCAATAGCGTTAAAATGTCGTGAAGATAAACAAGAGAAAAGGTAAAAATACACTTTAATTTCCTTCTTCCCTTTTAAACATTATTACGTTGGCAACACAATTGTTTAAAATAAGATCACAAAAATTGTTGATAAAATATCTTAGTTTTAACTTTGTAAAGTTAAAAGAATTGACAATTTGTTTCTGATATTATCATAGCACATTTTGTTCAAAGCTGTTTCATGCAACCATTGAAAATATTCTGACTGCTTGGATGTTAAAAGTAGTTTTTATTCCTATTCAAACATTTTACTAATATAAAACATTTTCCTATATCGTACATACACGTGTCCTTCTAAATAAACCATAAGCTCGCATGTGTGAAGAAAGCATGTTACATAATTA